TTAGCCAGGCATGGTGGCATGCACCTGTAATCCCAGCTACTTGGGAGGCTGAGGCAGGAGAATCTCTTGAACCCGGGAGGCAGACGTTGCAGTGAGCCAAAATTGCGCCACTGCACTCCAACCTGAGCGATAGAGTAAGACTCCAGCTCAAAAAAATAAAAAATAAAGATAAAAATAAAAATCTGGCCATCAAGCTGGGCATGGTGGTGCACACCTGTAAGCCCAGGTACTCAAGAGGTTGAGGCAGGAGGACTGCTTCAAGCCAGGAGTTTGAGACCAGCCTGGGCTACATAGTAAGACCCTGTCTCTTATTAGAAAGAGAAAGAAAGAAAGAAAGAAAGAAAGGAAAGAAAGAAAGAAAGAAAGAAAGAAAGAAAGAAAGAGAGAGAGAGAGAGAGAGAAAGAAAGAGAGAGAGAGAGAGAGAGAGAGAGAGAGAGAAAAGAAAGAAAGAAGGAAAGAAAGAAAGAAGAAAGTAAGGAAGGAAGCAATCTGGCTATCAGAGTGAGGAAAATGAAGTCATGGTAGCTATCGTTGGAGACTATATCAGGTGGAGAGAGGACTCCTATTCAAACGTAGGAGAGGCCTAAACCTAGAAGATGTGTGAGGATGAATGCATCCAGATATTTTTGAGGTTCATATTTTAGTGTCCTGGTACCATGTCGGTGCTGCTGCGTGTTTGAAGACCTTGATCCTGAACCTGAATGTAACGTACCGGTTACTCTTCAGGGTTAGGATTCTTACTAATGCAGAGAAAAATACCCTACCTGAGGGACTGATAAAGTATCTTCCGACAGGAATTCTGAAAATGGTTGGCTGGCTTGGAAGCAGGTTACAAAGAAATTCATAATTCATTTAGTTGACTTTATTATTCATTTAGCTAAATTCCTTTTTTTTTTAATTTGAGATTTTTAAATGAGACTAGGAGTCTCATTCTGTTGCCCAGACTAAAGTGCAGTGGTGCTATCTCGGCTCAGTACAACCTCCACCTCCCGGGTCAAGCGATTCTCCTGCCTCAGCCTCCCGAGTAGCTGGGATTACAGGTGTGCACCACCATGCCAGGCTAATTTTTAGTAGAGACAGGGTTTCACCATGTTGCCCAGTGGTCTCAAACCCCTGACCTTAGGTGATCTGCCCATCTTGGCTTCCCAGAGTGCTGGGATTACAATCATGAGCCACCATACCTGTCCCATTTAGTTGAATTCTAATTCAATTAAATGAAGTAGTATTAGTTATGAAATTAGTTCTGAAATTTATTTAGATATGAAATTTATAATTCATTCACTGATAACCACCTTCCCTCTGAGATTTGGTGGTTACATGGAGCTGTCCTGGATATACAGTATTTTCATATTACTACATTCTGCTGTGCTTCCTTTTTGCCTCAACATAAGGAAGGCATTGTGAAGCTGAAGCCTCATGAGGAACCTCTTCGTTCTGAGACCCTCAGTGGAAAATTCACCATCTTAGTGAGTCTTTAGGGACCTATCTTGTAGGGCTTCATTATTGCCTTTTTTTGACCAGTGTCATCTTTGGACTTTGTTCCTCCATACGTTGTTCTGAATCTCGAGTCTCCAGAGTTAGGAGCAGATGTGAAACAGCCATGCAGTTTGTTATAAAATTATTTTAGTAATAATTGAATTACTAATAATTACTAGTAATTAGAGTTGCTAATGATAATTGAATAACTGAATTATGGAAAGTCAGTCATGCAGTAGACTTTAAAAAGTTTCTTCATTTTGTCCGTTAAGGTTAGTCGTGGTCTTTGCGATAGATGTGCGATGTGTCAGACACCCATGCTTCCATATTTAACACAAGCCCTCCACTTAGCTGAGACCTCAGCCTTTCAAGTAAACATTTAATGGCACTTTTAACTCAAGCCCCAAGAAGTTTTTTAATGGCAGAGGGTGGAAATCATGGTCCTGTTGCCTGGTTCTCTCCTGCTGCTTGTTTCTTTGGCCATCCTGCTGGGGAAGTTAGCTAGGAAGTCATCTTTTGATCTGTCAGCAGTTGAAGAGCAAAGAGAATGTGATTTTTTTTCTTACCACAGAAATAAGGTCCAGGGAGTCCTGAGAGAATCAGCCAAGGGATGATATTAACATTCTTCCCTCTGGGGAGAAATGGGTGAGGTCAGGGAATTACTGTTAGCATCTGTTTTCTTCACGTATCCAACCCTTATCCACTATATGTCTTAGTAACTGCTCTGGTTTTCTATTTGATTTTTAAATGTTTCTTGTTTTATTTGCTTTAGAATGTTCGGGACCCAACAGGAGCCTCCATTGCCCTGTTTACTGCCAGGTTGCATCATCCCCACAAGTCAGTCCAACATGTGGACTTCAGGCTCTGTTTTACTTGCTTACCTCTGTGGATAGGTAAGCATTGAGATTATTTTTTAGGTGGTCTACATGCAGGTAGGAAAGTGACAGTTTTTGACTTGATTGAATTCGGCAGTGCCTTCATCCTTCTCCTAGGATGTGCCCTGGGCAATGATATGAATAGAAAACAGTCCATCTCCTTCAGGACTCAGCGTGTTTCCAGGCACTCTCAAGATAGTGGGTGTTCTGTCTCTTTACCACCTTGGCTCTTGGTCAGGAAAACAGAAGCTGAGAAAGACCAGCAGTCTTCGGTGTAGGGAAAACTACTTACTGGAAGAGAATGAGGAGGAGATGACCTGTGCTGGTTCTTTTTGTTCATATCAGAACCCTCTAGGGCCTCATTTTCTTTGTCTGCATAACAGGAATAATGCCACTTAGAGGATTTTGAGACTCAACATTCAAGGGAGGGTTGGGTGGGGTGGCTCACACCTGTGATCTCAGCACTTTGAGAGGCTGAAGCAGGTGGATTGCTTGAGGCCAGGAGTTTGAGACCACCCTGGAAAACAAGGTGAAACCCTGTCTCTGATTAAAAAAATACAAAAAATTAGCTGGGCATGGTATCATGCCCCTTTAGTTCCAGCTTCTGGGGTGGGGTGGGGGTGGGGGAGGTTGCTGAGGTGGGAAGAGGATCATTTTAGCCTAAATGGATGAGGCTGTAGTGAGCTGTGCTCATGCCCACTGTACTCTAGCCTGAGTGACAGAGTGAGATCTTTCACACACACACACACCCCAAACAACAAAAACAAAAATTCAAGGAAAAGTCCAAAAGTATAAAGTTAAGCAAAAATCATCCTGAATAAAAACATGTGCATAAGCATGTCATCACTCCCCCTGCTAAGGTAAATGGGATGGTTACAATTCAGGGGACAATTCAACTCAAGCCCCAGGAAGTTTCTGACAGTCATCACCTGTTAGCCCAGCTGGTTCTAAGACCCTGGCTTCTTCACTTGGGCAGTTATTTGTATCCTCCCATGCTGTCTTTCTGCCATTCTTTTTTCCCTGGTGTTTGCAATTTACAGTTTCTTACTGCTCTCGACATCTTTGGCTGGCCCTCTGGATTAGAAGTGCTATATTGTGGCCGGCAAGTTGACTCATGCCTGTAATCCTAGCACTTTGAGAGGCTGAGACGGGCAGATTGTCTGAGCTCAGGAGTTTCAGACCAGCCTGGGAATCATGATAAAACCCTGTCTCTACCACAAATACAAAAAAATTGCCAGGCATGGTGGCATGCGCCTGTAGTCCCAGCTACTCGGGGAGGCTGAGGCATGAGAATTGTTTAACCCTGGGGGTAGAGGTTGCAGTGAACAGAGATCATGCCACTACAGTCCAGCTTGGGTGACAGAGTCAGACTCTGTCTCCAAAAAAAAGTGCCATATTAGGGACTGAGCCCTGAAGTAGTGAGAGACAGTGATGTATAACTTGATCGATACTGTGGACTGACATGTTGGGAATCACTAAGGGATTGTCTGAGGTGGGGATGCCTGTCTGGTGCATGCATTGCTGCCTTCTTGATGTGACTTTGATAGCACGTAGCTTCTGCTGTTGATGCGCAGTGGGAGATAGACCTACAGCGCACACACAGCATTATTCTGAAGAGGAGAAGTTGCCGGGGAGTGTGGACCAGCATTCTCAGTGGCGCTGTACTCTCCAAGCGGAAGTGTAGACTTCTCAGCTCCTTCTTCCCTGTGACCGGCCTTCAGGTATAATTTCCAGTGTATGGGTTCCTTAGAAATTCTGTAGCTCAGGAGAAAAAATGAGAGGCTCCTTCCCCAGAAAATCCAGTACTGGCCTTCCTCCATGGGAGGCTTGGAGTCAGAACTCTCATTTTTTTTTCTTTGTTATAAATACACGTGTTTGGTGAGTGAGGGGCAACAGAAGGCAGAGAGATGGCGCTGTACACAGCTGGTATAGGCTTGGAGGTGGAACACCGAGAGACACACAGACAGTCTGCCCAGCAGGGCAGGCCGGGCAGCATTCTGGTGCTTGTAACACTTGGCAGGAGGACTGGCCCAGGGCTGGAGGGGCCCAGGCACTCTGCAGGCTCCCTGGTCCGAGGTCCTGGCTGGCATCAGTGGTGGCGCCTGGGCTCAGCTCACATCATTCAGGGCCTTGCGGGCAAACTCGGGCAGCACGAAGGCGGCGCGGGGCACATCGGAGTGGTAGTACTTCAGCTGCATCTGTGCCACCTGGTGCTGCCTCAGCGGCTGCACCGGCTCCTGAAAGCTGGTGCTCGGGTTCTTGCTGCACAGCATGAAGCTGATCTGGCCGCTGGGGTAGGTGGGGATGGTGCAGTAGGCATAGGCCACACAGGGAACAGTGACTGGCAGAACTGCCGCATCTCCTTGATGAGGTCCAGGTGCAGCCACTGGCACTCACCCTGGCAGCAGAGGACGCCATCTTCCTTGAGGGCCGTCTTCATGAGCTGGTAATAGGACTCTTTGAAGAGACTTTCGGCGGGGCCCATGGGGTCTGAGGAGTCAGTGATGATCACATCAAAGGCATCCTGGTTCTGCTTCATGAACTCAAAACCATCACCCACATGTAGGGTCAGCTTCGAGCTAGAATAGCCAACAGCCATCCCCGGCAGGAACCTCTTGGAGGCTTGGATGACATCCTCGACGATCTCACACTGGACCACGACTCCACGGAGGGGTGCTTCACCACCTCCCGCAGAACACCTTTGTCTCCTCCCCCGATGATCAGCACCTTTTGCCGGTTGGGGTGGCTGCAGAGAGGCAGGTTGGTTTTTTTTTTTTTTTTCCAGCAAGAACTATAATTTAATCACATAACACTATGTAACATTCTATATTTTTGCCTGTTGATATGTAACATAGTTAAGTTTATTACAAACATTATTTCTTAAGACTTATTGTATAAGTGCTCCTTTTCAAGTATTACCACTTAATAGTGTTTATCTACAATGTAACATTAGGTAAATCAGTGATAAATGTATATAATGCAATACACTGTGCCACTTCTCCCTACCGCGTGTTAAGGTATATATACATTAACAAAATCAAGGAAAACAAACAAGACAACTATTATAACTGAAACAAGACGATGAACATCACAGATGCATGTCTGAGTAGATAAACAGCATTTCCCCTTAACATGAAGGTCATTTTGTCAAAGAGATTCCTATACCTTTAGGCTAGCATTGTTTTTAGCAGCAGCCAGTGCATGAGGGAGCTAGGGGGTCGGTGTGCAGGGGCCGGGGAGCTGGGCGTCGCCCCATCTCGGTGGGGCGTGCCGGGTCCCCAAGCCCATTCCTGTCCCACCCTGGCCGTTCCCTGCCCGACCCGGAAGCGCGCAGCCAGATGCTGCGGCAGGGCCCGCGAGAGGCTGCGGTGGACAGGCCCGGGGCGCCCAGGGTCGTGCAGCGGGCCAGCGAGGGCCGTCACCTTCCCGCGGCGGAGGGGCCTGGGGACCAAGAACTCCACTCAAACTTCAGGCGCAGGGTGAAGGCTGGCAGCGACCGAGTCACCCTTTCCCGCAGCGTTCCCAGCAGTTCCGGTGGCGGAAAATGGCCCAGGCTTGGTTTTCGAGCCCAGTAAAACAGAAGGGCCAGTCCTCCGAGGGCCTCGGCTTGCTCTGCGGGGCCGCGAGACCTGCAGCGGCTCCTGGCCGCCCCCACGCCCTGCGCCATGAAGCCTGGCAGGGAGGGGATGGCGCCCGACTCACGCCCTGGTCCCGCGCGGGGACCGAACGGCCCGGATCCCGTCAGCCAGGACGCAAAAGGGCAGGTCGCCGGTGAGCGCCATCTGCTCGGGGCAGGTCCCCACTGGCCACACGACGCTGCTGCAGCATTCGAGGCCGGCAGGGACGCCGTCCCCCGTCCCACACACCTGAGTCAGTTTACCCCCGAGCCGAATCTGAGCCCCTGGCAAGAACCGTGGCTAGGTGCACAGAGCTTAGCCGGGAAGGTGGGGGAGCTGTGGCCTCCGTCCCGCCGGGACTGCGGGTGGGGGGAAGAGACCCTGGCATTCCCCGCAGATCCTGTAATGCCCCCCATGTCCCCTTCCACCAAACAGGTGTAACCCCCACCCGCCTTCTCCAAAAGCCCATGGCAGAGATGAGGGGCACAGAGGGACCCGAAGCCTTGACCGCGCAAACCCGGCGGGAAAATGAAGCCCAGTAGGACCGCGAGGCCGCTATCAGGAAGCCCGGCTCCTGGGACCCAGCTCTGGGCCCTCCCAGCCTCGAGGTCCTCGCCCTATGGAGGCACGAGGAGAGGACCCGGGCTCCCCCAGCCGGCCGACGCCGCCCGCCCTCCTGTTCCTCAGGGCGCTGACACCCTCCCTCCCCAAAAAGAAAAAAAAAGAAAAAAAAAAAAGGTCATGTGGAAGATGGCGGCATCCAGGGGAGGCTGCGGGCTCTGAGCGGGCGGTGAGAGGTTTCGGTACAGCCGAACCTGCGGCTTTGGAGGTCCCTTCACTCAGTTTCCTGCTCCAGGTTTCGCACTGCGCATCCTCCCAGACCCTTGGGCGCGATGTGGAGGAGCTGCCACCGGCTGTGGGACGGGGGACGTCGCCTCCTGAATCGGCCTGCGGGTGGCCCCAGAGCTTCTAAGAGTCCGAGGCCAACCATCCCGTCTCCAGCCCGAGCTTAACGCCCCGCCGACAGAAAGGAAGAGGTTTTATCAGAATGTCAGCATCACACAGGGTGAAGGTGGCTCTGAGATAAACCTGGACCACAGGAAGCTGAAAACTCCCCAAGCCAAGCTCTTTACCGTGCCCAGCGAGGCCCTGGCCATCGCAGTGGCCACTGAATGGGATTCCCAGCAGGATACCATCAAGTACTACACCATGCACCTGACCACATTGTGCAACACATCCTTGGACAACCCAACCCAGAGAAATAAGGATCAGCTGATCCGGGCAGCCGTGAAGTTTCTGGACACCAACACCGTCTGCTACAGGGTGAAGGAGCCAGAGACATTAGTGGAACTTCAAAGGAATGAGTGGGAGCCAACCATCGAATGGACTGAGAAAAGATATGGCGTGAAGATCAGCTTCTCCACCAGCATAATGGGACCCAGCATCCCTGCCAAGACTCGGGAGGTGCTTGTCAGCCACCTGGCGTCTTACAACACGTGGGCTCTGCAAGGCATTAAGTTTGTGGCTGCCCAGCTTAAGTCCATGGTGCTGACCTTGGACCTGATTGATCTGCACCTGAAGGTGGAGCAGGTCGTGCTGCTGTCATGCCTGGAGGAGTATCAGATCCAGTGGGGCAATATTGAGTGGGCCCATGACTACGAGCTGCAGGAGCTGTGAGCCCGCCCTGCTGCCGGCACCCTCTTTGTCCATCTCTGCTCCAAGAGCAGCACAGCCAAGCACAAGCTCCTGAAGGAGTGAGGCCTGGGCAGCGCACACCCAGCAGGGTGGTGGCAGTACAGCCACAGCTCCCCTGGCCTTTGGGGCTCCCCAGCCTGTGGGGCTGGCTCCCTTGGCCTTTGGGGCTCGGCCTCAGAGTCACCCTGAGATTCCCCCGAGACACAGTGCACTAGTGCAGCTGTCCAGAGGTCAGCCTGATTTCAACCCAGGTGCCCCTGGTCTGGCCAGCAATAAACGTGGGAGACAGATTATACAAGTGACTTTCTCTTGACACTGATTTTATTCAATATTTCTCCACCCTGGGGAAAAAAAATGGCAGGATGCATGGAGGAGGCCACATCGTGCTTTTTTTCAGCGTGAGTGTTAGATCCCGCAAGGTGACCACACAGCTAAACATAGTTAAAACTTAGGTTTTTTAATATTCATTCCTTTCCTAAAAACCCTCAGTGACTCCCAATTATCCAGAGGGGGCATATAAGCTAAATAACTGTGAACTCTTTTCTCTAAGCACAACATTCTCCCCAGTGAGTAGAAAATCTTGTTTTCCTGTTACCTTGAACTACGGTGGTCTTACCTCTCCCTTCATCTTTACTAAATTCTACCCTTTCTTCAAAACCCAGTGTCCATGACTAGCTCCCTCACACTCCAACCTGCCATAAATGAAATCAGGTTCCCTCTGACCTTAACAGAAGTTATTATGAATATCAGTCTTTATGTACTTACATTATACATAGTCTTGTGATATCATTCATCTTACACTGTTACTAGATTTTTCATCTACCACTAGAATGTGAGCTCCTTGAGGGCAGGGAACTTTCTTTTTAAAATATATAAAGGAAAATATCCAAATCTCTGTACATCAAGAGAGAATGGTATCATTAACGTCTACATATCCATCATCCATCTTCCTGGTAGCCCCTCATGGATCTCCTACCCTCCATTTCTTTCTTTTTCTTTTCTTTTTCTTTTTTTTTTTTTTTGACACCACGTCTTGCTCTTTCACTAGGCTGGAGTGCAATGGCATAATCGTAGCTCACTGCAGCCTTGAACTCCTGGGCTTAAGCAATCCTACCATCTTGGCCTCCCAAAATGCTGAGATTACAAGCATGAGCCACTGCATCTGGCCTCTTGGCTTGTTTGTTGTTTGTTTGTTTTTTTAACAAATGTCAAGGACTGTGTTTAAACTTCTTGGTGTTTTCTGTAACATGTAGCTCAGGAATCACACTCAGAAGGGAATCAGTCAGCTGTCATTGTCAATCTTAAATGGGGTACAGGGGCTCTTGCCTGTAATTCCAACACTTTGGGAGGTCAGGCAAGAGGATCGCTTGAGTCCAGGAGTTCGGGACCAGACTGTACAACATAGAAAGACCTCGTGTCTACAAAAAATAAAAAATCAGCCAGGCATGGTGGCATGTGCCTGTAGTCCCAGCCACTCACAGAAGACTGAGCTGGGAGGATAACCTGAGCCCTGGGAGGTCAAGGCTGCAGTGAGCCATGATGGTGCCACTGCACTCCAGCATGGGTGACAGAGTCAAACGCTGTCTTAAATATATATATATATATATATTCTGGCCAGGTATGGTGGCTCACACCTGTAATCCCATCACTTTGAGAGGCCAAGGTGGGTGGATCACCTGAGGTCAGGAGTTCAAGACCAGTCTGACAAATGTGGTGAAACCTCATCTCTACTAAAAATACAAGAAATTAGCCAGGTGTGGTGGTGGGCACTTGTAATCCCAGCTACTTGGAAGGCTGAGGCAGGAGAATCACTTGAACTCAGGAGGCAGAGGTTGCAGTGAGTAGAGATTGTGCCATTGCACTCTAGCCTGGGTAAAAAGATGTCTCCAAATACACACACACACACACACACACACATTCACACACACATATTCACACACACACACAAAACACATTTATATTTAAACACACACATTTATTCTATATCCTAAAGTGTGTGAAAATCTTACTGCATTTGTGTTTTATGTGCCTTCACAAGATGAGCAGTTTGATCTGGGAATACAGAACCTGGATCACTCATTATGCATCTAAGCTTCTTTTTCTGAAATTCTCTTTGCCCCTTCACTGACTTGTTTATGTTTTAGTCCCCTGCTACAGCTGGAGTGATGAGGGGAAAACCCATAATTTGAATTTGAACCTTGAGGAGCTCGTGGAGAAATAGGAAGTATCTCGATCTGGATAGTCTGATCAATAACTGTGCCACATATTTTTTTTTTTTGTTTTTATTTAAGAGACAGGGTGTCTGTTGCTCCAGCTGAAGTGCAGTTGCATCGTTATAACTCACAGCAGCCTCAACTCCTGGGCTCAAATGATACTCCTGCCTTTGTCTCCCAAGGAGCTGGGACCACAGGCATGCACTACCACACCTGTCTAATTTTTAAATTTTTTTTGTAGAGACAGAGTCTCACTATGTTGACCAGGCTGGTCTCGAACTCCTGGCCTCAAGCAATCTTCATATCTCAGTCTCCCAAAATTCTGAGTTACAGGTGGGAGTCACTGCACCTGGCCTGTTCCACACATTTTAGCAGCATCTTGGTTCTTTGTGAATCATAGCCTCTCTGGGATTACAAAAAAGGAGTCACGGGCTGGGTGAAGTGACTCACACACTTTGGGAGGCCGAGGGGAATGAAGGTCAAAAGTTGAGACCTTCCTGGGCAACAGAATGAAACCCTGTCTCTACTAAAAACAAACAAACAAATAAGAAAAAGGAGTCCAGATTTAGCACACCAGGGGCCAGTTGAAACCAAGTCTGCTGGAAAAACTGTCATGTACCTCAGAATTAGACATTTTTGAAGTGTTAGCTCATGGGTGGGCGCTTCTGTCTTGGAATTTGTTAAAGGGATGAAGATACGAAGGTTCCCAGGAGGTGATGCTGCAAAAATAGTAGGATACAAAATAACTTTGAGGCAGCACACGGTGGTTCGCGCCTGTCATCACAGCACTTTGGGAGGCTGAGGTGGGTGGGACCAAACTCCTGAGGTCAGGAGTATGAGACCAGCCTGGCCAACATGGAGAAATCCCATCTCTACTAAAAATACAAAATTAGCTGAGTGTGGTGGCACAGGCCTGTAGACCCAGCTATTTGAAAGGCTGCAGGAGAATCACCTGACCCCCGGTGGCAGAGGTTGCAGTGAGCCGAGATTGCGCCATTGCACTCCAGCCTCAGTGAAAAGATCAAAACTCTCTCTCAAAAACAAACAAACAAACAAATAACACAATAACATTGAGATTCCTGATTTCAGGAATGTGTTTTGTGCCAGTTTTCTCAGTTCTAAATAGATGAGAAAACTGTTGCTGTCATCTGTGAGTAGTCCAATCAAATAATTTATTCCTAATGACCATTTGGGTCTGTAAATCAGATGTAAGTATGGATCCGGCTTGGTGGAAGAGTACATCTTTGAGAAATCTTTATAAATCTAGAGAAGTGGTCTGAGGGATACTTTCTGTATCTTCAAATGTTCCTCCGTTTGATCTGGGAGTAGGCTTACTTTTTTTTTTTTTGAAGCAGAGTCTCACTCAGTCACCCAGGCTGGAGTGCAGTGTTGCAATGTCGGCCCACTGCAACCTCTGCCTCCTGTGCCCAGGCAATTCACCTGCCTCAGCCTCCCGAGTAGTTGGGATTACAGGTATGTGCCATCATGTCCGGCTAATTTTGTATTTTTAGTAGAGATGGGAATTCACCATATTGGCCAGGCTGGTCTCAAACTTCTGACCTCAGGCCACCTCAGCCTCCCAAAGTGCTGGTATTGGAGGCGTGAGCCACCACACCTGGCTATGACTTACTATTAATACCTGTTCACCTACTTTTTTTCCTCTCTTCTCTCTCTCTCTCTCTCTCTCTGTTTTTAAAATAGAGTCAGGGTCTTGCCATGTTTCCCAGGCTGGTCTTGAACTCCTGGGCTCAAGCAGTCCGCACACCATGGCTTCCCAAAGTGCTGGGATTACAGGCATGAGCCACTGCACCCGGCCTTACTTTAAGACAAGATCTCACTGTCTCTCAGGCTGGAATGCACTGTGCAGTGGCATGATCTCACTGCAGCCTCGACCTCCTGGGCTCAAGTGACCCTCCCACCTCAGCCTCCTGAGTAGCTGGAACTATAGCACAGGTCACTACAGGATGAGGTATTGTCATGTTGCCAGGCTGGTCTCAAATTCCTAGTCTCAAGCTGTCTGCCCACCTTAGCCTCCCAAAGTGCTGACACTAGAGGTGTGAGCCACCATGCCCAGCCTTAATCCACTTTTTAAGAATGCTTTCCAAAGGCCATGTGTGGGTTTCTTCTCTTCCTCCATTGGATCATACAAAACAAATTTACTCTCAGTGAGCTTAGAGGCATTTTGTTCTACAAAGTTTTCCACAGGTCTGAAATATGTTTTAGAGATGGTCTTCTAGTCTACTGAATTAGAATTCAGTAGGAGGCTGAGGCAGGAGAATTGCCTGAACCCAGGAGGCGGAGGTTGCAGTGAGCTGAGATCGCACCATTGCACTCCAGCCTGGGTAACAAGAGCGAAAGTCTGTCTCAAAAAAAAAGAATTCAGTGACCATTTATTTTTAAGGGCTGGGCTAGGGACTGTTGGGTGTAATGAGTTGAACAACAGGTTCTTGTCCCCTAGGAGAGAATCACATGGCTACACAGAGTATGTTAAGGCCACAGGAAAATTTATGGGGCTTTAAGGGAAAAAACAATTGGTAGTATATTTGATTACAGTTATCAGGGAGACTTTCATGGCAGAGGAAACTTTGGGGTTGAGTATGGAATGTGTTATAGGATTTCGTAGGCAGATCCAGAGGGGTGGGAGAAAACAGTTCAGATTTTAATAACTTAGTTGCTGTAGCGTATTCTCAACCGAGGAGTGTGGCATTTGGTAAATCTGGATAAATCCGCATTAATAAACATAGCAGATACCAAAGATAAGCGATCTTTTTGTAAGATCATTGTGCAGGCAGGCAGTTGTTTTGATCCTAGATGTGTCCCGTCCTCTCGGGTTTTGTTTTGGCATTAGGCTTTCCACCTGCCTCATCCATCTTATAAACGTTTCTGTTTAATGGTTGATTTACAGCTTTGAAACTCAGAGGAATGGACTGGTGTTTATCTATGACATGTGTGGTTCTAATTATGCCAACTTCGAGCTGGATCTTGGCAAGAAAGTCCTAAACCTGCTGAAGGTAAGGCTGTGAGAGGGTCCACTCAACTTTCCTTTTCAATGCTTGGGATTTTTTTTAATTATTATTCTTTGGGAAAAGATTTAGGAATGATGCAAGCTTCAGACATTATGTTCTATGTAAAGGTCACCTGTAAATGATGACTACTATCTGCCTCCTTAGAACAAGAAATGGTCTTAAAGGTGAAGTGGGAGGAATTAAGGTAAAAAATACAGGAACATTCTGAGTCATAAAAGTGGGATGGGCTGGGCGCCATGACCCACGCCTGTAATCCCAGCACTTTGGGAAGCTGAGGTACACTTTTGTGTCTAAGGTGTATATGAAATATACATAAATTTCCCGCTCAGGTTTGGGTTCCATCCCAAGGGATCTCATTATGAATATGCAGATATTCCAAAATCTGGAAAAAATTCAAAATCTGAAACACTTCTGGTCCCAAGTATTTTGGATAAGGAATACCCAACCTGTGTTATCAATGGTGCTGTTATAAACATTCTTAAACATGTTTTCTGGTGCGTATGTATAAGAGGGTCTGTAGGGGACTGTTTCTCAACCTTTTTTCATTATTGCCTCATTAGAGGAGCCTTTTAAACACTTCCCCCTAATAATTCTTCTTTTAATGAAATTTTAATACCATAGATATACTGTATATCTCTATGTACTCTTTCTGACATTTATTTTATTTTATTTCATTTTTTTGAGATGGAGTCTCACCCTTGTCAACCAGGCTGGGGTTCAGTGGTATGATCCTGGCTCACTGTAACCTCCATCTACTAGATTCAAGTGATTTTTCTGCCTCAGCCTCCTGAATAGCTGGGATTACAGGTGCCTGGCACCACACCCTGCTAATTTTTGTACTTTTTATAGAAACAGGATTTCACCATGTTGGCCAGGCTGGTCTTGAACTTTTGACCTCAGGTGATCCACCCGCCTCAACCTCCTAAAGTGCTAGGATTACAGGCATGAGCCACTTGGCCCAGCCCTTTTTGCCACTTTCAAAAGACTGATTCTTTTCTGTTGTTTGTTTGTTTCTTTTTTTTTTTGAGACAGAGTTTCACTCTTGTTACCCAGGCTGGAGTGCAATGGCACGATCTCGGCTCACCGCAACCTCCGCCTCCTGGGTTCAGGCAATTCTTCTGCCTCACCTCCTGAGTAGCTGGGATTACTGGCACACGCCACCCTGCCCAGCTAATTTTTTGTATTTTTAGTAGAGATGGGGTTTCACCATGTTGACCAGGATGGTCTTGATCTCTTGACCTCGTGATCCACCCGCCTCGGCCTCCCAAAGTGCTGGGATTACAGGCGTGTTTGTTTCTTTTGAGAGGGAGTCTTGCTCTGTCCCCCAGGCTGGAGTGCAGTGGAGCGATCTCAGCTCAGTGCAACCTCTGCCTTTCGGATTTAAGTGATTCTCCTGCCTCAATCTCCCAAGTAGCTGGGATTACAGGTGCCCACCACCGTGCTCGGCTAATTCTTGAATTTTTGGTAGACACAGGTTTTTACCATGTTGGCCAGGCTGGTTTCGAACTCCTGACCTCGAGTGATCTGCCCACCTCGGCCTCTCATAGTGCTGGGATTACAGGTGTGAGCCACCACACCTGGCCTCAGAAGACTGATTCTTATCTGACATGTCACTCTCTGTTCTCTTCAGTTATCCTTTAGTACTACTGATCTGGGGAATCCCCAGCAGTGCTCTATGGAAAATACACAGCATCTAGAACAAAATTCTCCAAAGGCCTCTTCAATGAAGTGTGATAAACTAGTTTCATCTTTTCCTTCGAAGATGCAACCATTTATTTCAGGGTCTAAATGTCCAAGGTCCTTTTTTTTTTTTTTTTTTCGAGACAAAGTCTTGCTCTGTCACCAGGCGCTAGGCTGGAGTACAGTGGCGCAATCTCGGCTCACTGCAATCTCCGCCTCCTGGGTTCAAACAATTCTCCTGCCTCAGCCTCCTGAGTAGCTGGGACCACAGGTGCACACCACCGTGCCCAGATAATATTTGTATTTTTTAGTAGAGATGGGGTTTCACCATGTTTACCAGGATGATCTCGATCTCTTGACCTCGTGATCCGCCTGCCTCAGCCTCCCAAAATGCTGGGATTACAGGCGTGAGCCACTGCGCCCAGCTTCTAGGTTCTTTTAACCACCAAATCAAAAATGATTATAGGCTGGTCACAGTGGTTCATGTCTGTAATACCACTACTTTGGGAGGCCAAGGCAGGTGGATCACAAGGTCAGGAGTTCTAGACCAGCCTGGCCAATATGGTGAAACCTTGTCTTTATTAAGAAAAAAAAAAATTAGCCATACATGGTGGGGCATGCCTGTAATTTCAGCTACTCAGGAGGCTGAGGTAGGAGAACTGCTTGAACCCAGGAGGTGAAGGTTGCAGTGAGCTGAGATTGCACCGCTGCACTCCAGCCTGGGCAACACAGCAAGACTCCATCTCAAAAAAAAAAAAAAAATTGTAGGGAAACACCTATTATTTCCACAAAACAACCAGTATTAATTAGCCTTTCTAAAAAGATACCAAAAAGTAAAGAGCATCAACATAAAGAAGAATTTACATCAATGAATGGATAAAACAGCCAGTAAACATCAAATGGCAGTAATCCTAAATTTAAATTGACTAAATCCCCCAATCAAAAGACACAGCCAAAACCCAACAGCATGTTACATCCAGACCCATTTCACATGCAAGGATACACAAAGACTCAAACAAAGGGATGGAGAAAGATTTACCAACCAAATGGAGAGCAAAAATAAATAAATAAATAAAAAACAGGAGTTGCAATTCTCATATCTGATAAAATAGATTTTAAAGCAACAAAGATATAGTGGTAAAAGGATCAATGCAACAAGAGCTAACAATCCTAATACCCAGATACATAGAGACTTAGACTCAATGAGACAGAAAATTAATAAGGATATCAAGGATTCGAACTCAGATCCGGAACAAGTAAACTTAATATTTATAGAGCTCTCCACTTTAAATACATAAAATATACATTCTTGTCAATACCATATCACACCTACTCATAGTTTAAATGAAACATTGATTGGCCATTATTAATACCCATCTTTTTTAGAATAAAGCATTTCCATTCTCTCTCCCTCTTTTTCTTCCTCTTTCTTCTTCTCCTTCACTCCTTTCTTTTCTTTCCTTCTCTCAAAAAAAGAAAAAAAAGAAATCAACTTGTAGACCTCTAGATCCAGGTCGGCAATGTCTCTCTCATTGCTTGATTTCCTTCCTTCCCGTCTCTTCCTCCCTCCCTCCCTCCCTCACTCCCTCCTTTCCTCCCTTCCTCCTTCCTGCCTTCCTGCCTTCCTCCCTTCCAAAAAAAAAAAAAAAAAAAAGCAGAAGCTACTACAGCTCTTTTTTCAGAGCAAAGAACTACAGACATGGGCCTAGTCCATTTACATGACTGCCTGGAGGTACCTGCTGCAGTCACAAGAAACGAGTGGCAGCTTGGTCAATGGTGAATAGCCTGCAGCCTTCTCCAGTGTAAATTACAAAGGATTTACCCCCATTCCCAAACCTTTTTTCAAGGGATTAACAGAGAAGCCAGTGATGGTGACACTTACGTGGAGAATGGATTACAGAGGCTAACTGGTATCTGTAGGTGAACCAGCTCTACAGATGTATCTATATGAACATGTAGCTTGCAAATACAGGAGAATACATAGTTGGGGTGTTGTCTGGACATCTGGATGAAGTTTTACCAAAGTATAATACTGTCCTCTGTCTCAGAGGTGTGGAAGAAGAGAAAGAGGATGGGGAATGAGAGAATAGCATCTTTTCTGGGGGATTTTTAAAATACATATTTTTAGACAATAAAGATCTGTTCATTTTTCTAATAAATAAACAACTGTATAGCACCCTCATATCCTGTCAGTTCAGTAAGTTGGTAACACCTTTTGGAAGGCATCTGGCCTTATAAATCCGTGAAAATGCACATACTCTTTGATCAGTTCTATTTCTGAGATTATATGCTAAGGAAACAATCAGGAAAATAAAGATTTATAAAAAGAGTATTTACTCCACATTTATTTTAGATAATTAAAAATAATAGTTTAAAACTGGAAAGAAGCTGGACCCAGTGACTTACATGTCTAATCTCAGCCCTTTGGGAGGCTGAGGTGGGAGATTTGCTTAAGACCAGGAGTTCAAGGCCAGTTTAGGCCACATAGCAAGACCCTCTCTGTACAAAATTTAGGTGCATGTGGTGGTGCATGCCTATCATTCCAGCTACCCAGGAGGCTGAGGCAGGAGGATCACTTGAGCCCAGGATATGAGCCTGCAGTGAACTATGATCATATGATTACATTCCAACCCAGGTGATAAGATCCTGTCTTTAAAAAATAAAAAGAATATTCATACTCTTTTTTAGCCAAATTATTCCAGTCTTAGAAACAGCTCCCTCAAATAATTTAAAAGGAGGCCAGGCACAGTGTCTCATGCCTGTAATCCCAGCACTTTCAGAGGTCAAGAAGGCAAATCACTTGAGGCCAGGAGTTCGAGACCAGCTTGGCCAATATGGTGAAACTCTGTCTCTGCTAAAAATACAAAAAGCCAGGTGTGATGACACATGCTTGCAATCCCAGCTACTCAGGAGGCTGAGTCATGAAAATTGGTTGAACCCTTGAGTAGACATCGTGCCACCACACTGCAGCTTGGGCGACCAAGTGAGACTCTGTCTCAAAATAAAAAACTAAAAGGAAAAGGTAAAATGAGCATATCAGGATTATTTAAGCTTAAAAACAAACTGAATAATCAGCATGATGGTTCATGGTTAATTAAATTACCTGTGGCATATTTGGTCCACAGGATATTGTGACTTTGTTAAAAACAACTAATAGAAAGTCTAAGTTGGGGAAAGGAGGGACTTTTTAATATGTAAAAGCGGAAAGCATAACAGCTACCCACATATAAAAAAGTGTCAGATTCCTACATCTCATACCACGTTCAAAAATCAACTTTAGATAGATTAAAGTCTTAAATAACGAAAACACACCTCGTGTGAAGCCTCATGCCTGGAGTCTCAACACTGGGAGGACCAAGGCAGGCAGATTGCTTGAGCCCAGGAGTTTGAAACCAGCCTGGGCAACATGATTAAACCATTTGTATTTTTGTTCTACAAAAATTACAAAAATTAGACCGGCATGGTGGCACATACTACTTTCGAGGCTGAGGTGGGAGGATCACTTGAGCCTGGGAGGTCAAGGCTACAGTGAGCTATGACAGTGCCACTGCACTCCAGCCTGGGTAACAGAGTGAGACCTTGTCTCAAAAAAAAAAAAAGGGCAAAAACAAAAATTTTAAATTTTAAAAGAAAATAGGTCCTCAAACTTGGACAAGTGGGAACAATGTGGAAAATAGCTCCTCAAATCTGGACAAGTGGAAACAACCCAAATGTCCATCAACAGATGAATCGATTAGCAATATGTGTATTTATGGTGAAATATTATTCAGCCTTAGAAAGCAATGCTCATCATCACTGGCCATTAGAGAGATGCAAATCAAAACTCCATTGAGATACCATCTCACACCAGTTAGAATGGCGATCATTAAAAAATCTGGAGACAACAGATGCTGGAGAGGATGTGGAGAAATAGGAACACTTTTCCACTGTTGGTGGGAGTGTAAATTAGTTCAACCATTGTGGAAAACAGTGTGGTGATTCCTCAAGGACCTAGAAATAGAAATTCCATTTGACTCAGCAATCCCATAACTGGGTATATATCCAAAGGATTATAAATCATTCTCTATAAGGACACATGCACACAAATGTTCACTGCAGCACTGTTTACAATAGCAAAGACCTGGAACCAACCCAAATGCCCATCGATGATAGACTGGACAGGGAAAATGTGGCACATATACACCATGGAATACTATGCAGCTATAAAAAAAGATGAGGTCGTGTCCTTTGTAGAGACACGGATGAACCTGGAAGCCATCATTCTCAGCAAACTGACACAAGAACAGAAAATCAAAAACCACATGTTCTTACTCATAGATGGGTGTTGAACAATGAGAACACATGGACACAGAGAGGGGAGCATCACACACTGGGGTCTGTTGGGGGGAAATAGGGGAGGGACAGTGGGGGATAGGGAGTTGGGGAGAGATAGCATGGGGAGAAATGCCAGATATAGGTGATGGGGAGGAAGGCAGCACATCACACTGCCATGTGTGTACCTATGCAGCAATCTTGCATGTTCTTCACATGTACCCCAAAACCTAAAATGCAATTAAAAAAAGCAATGTAATTCTGAGACATGCCACAGTATGTTTAACCTTGGAAACATTCTACTAAGTAGGATAAACCTGACAAAAAAGGACAAATATAGTAGGATTCCACTAACATGAGGACCTAAGATAGGCAAATTCATAGACAGAAAGTAGAACAGAGGTTACCAGGGACTAGGGGGAGCCAGGAATGGGAATAGTTGTTTAATGGGTACAAAGTTTTTGTTTGCAATGGTGAAATAGTTCTGAAAATGAATAGTGGTGACGGCTGCATTGTGAGTATATTAATTGTGAGTACACTTAGAATGGTTTAAAAGGTCAGTTTTGCTGTGTATATTTTCCCATTAGAAAACCAACTTAACTCTTTCTTAAACACAACTCGATTTTTGTGGTATCAGTTGTAATGTTTTTCTGTTTTTCCTGATTTTGCTTGAGACTTCTTTTTTTCTTGATTTGTCTAGTTAGTGGTTTATCACTTTCATTTATCTTTTTAAGAAATCGACTTTTCAGTTTGTTAATTATTTACATGGCTTTTAAAAGCTTATTTAGTTCTGCTCTGATCCGTATTATTTTTTCTGCTAATTTTGATGTGGTTTATTCTTGCTTTTCTGGTTCCTTGAGGTTCATTGTTACACGGTTAATTTGCAATGTTTCTGCTTTTCTTAGGTAGGCGTTTGTTGCTATAACCTTCCCTTTAGCCCTGTCTAGCTGTATACCACAGGTTTTGGTATGTTGTGTCTCAATTTTTATTTGTTTCAAGAAACTTTTTGAATTTCATCTGAATTTCATCTGAATAATCATTGAGTCAACATGTTAATTTGTTGTTTAATAAGGAGCATGTTGTTTAATTTCCATGTATTTGTCTAGTTGCCAAAGTTTCTCTTGGTGTATATTTCTAGTTTTATTCCATTGTGTCCAGAGAAGATATTTGATATGATTTCAGTTTTTGAAAATTTATTGAAACTTGTTTTGTGGCTTAACACAGGCCCTCTGCTGGAAAACGTGAAAACATTCCCTGTGTTCATGAAAAGAGTGTATATTCTGTAGTGTTAGGTAGAATGCACTGTAAATATCTGTCAGCTTTATTTGGTATAAGGTTCAGTTTAAATCCCGCTCTTTCTTGATTTTCTGTGTAGATGACTTGTCTAATGCTGAGGTTTGGATGTTGAAAGTCCCCAGTATTATTGTATTGGAGTCTATCTCTCTGATTAAATGTAGCAATTATACAGGCTGCTCTTTGTTAGAAAAGAAAATGTTTGGGGGCTGCATTTCATTAAAAGGAAAACCTTACTGAGAACTTCCATAGCCTCACTCTCTACGTAAATAATGTTTTCTTAAGTCCTATATCACTGACAGATTCTGAGCCAGAACGAGGTGGCACAGAAAACCTGGACTGTGCAGAATGCTTTGTAGTAAAGATGGCTGAGCGGCAGTAGTGATCTCCAGTTTCCAGATGCAGCAGTGACATCTGACCTCACCTCAGGGTCCAGTGTCCAGCACCAGGGTGTCAGAGGTGTGAACTGTGGCATCCGTGCAGTAGGGATAGGTGTCTCTAGATGGAACCTGATCTAGGGTGGGCTGTGGATTCTGTTTCTGGATGTGTAGTTTCCAGCCTGGAAACTGTGGCCTTCCCCCCAGTACAATTAGCCAGGCATGACAGCTCACACCTATAACCCCAGCATTTAGGGTGCTAAGGCAAGAGGATTGCTTGAGATAGGAGTTGGAGACCAGCTTAGACAACATAGTGAGACCCTCCTCTTAAAAAAAAATAAAAATAAGTAAACCTAGTTTGACGTGGTGGTGGGCACTTGTATTTCCAGGTATTGGGGAGGCTGAGGTGGGAAGATCCCTTGAGTTCATGAATTCAAGGCTGCAGTGAACCATGATTACACCACAGGACTCCAGCCTAGGCCACAGAGTGAGATCTTGACTCAAAAAATACTTTGTAAGCCTTTGCTCACTATGTGTTTTTTATTATTTATTCAACGTGTATTTTGATTTTATTTTCCTGGCAGCACAATAAGCCAGGACATGCTGAAACTAGAAATCACATCCACATTCCAGTGATAGAAAGCCCAGTCCAGGGAGGTGAGAAGGAGACAGTCCTCATTAGCATTGAAGATTCAGGGAGAATGACATGGGCTGGGCAGGGAGGTTTCTACTTGGAACCTGGAGGATGAGCAATGACATCCCTCTCTCCACCTTAAAGCCCATCCTGGGGGTCCACCTCCTGGGAGCAGGAGCAGCGCAGCAGCTTCCTTTTGCAGATCATGCACAGCCCTCCCCTTCCTGGGCACCTGGGATTTCTTCACTGGACACCAGCCTGCATCAACTTTCCTGTAAAGCAAAAGAAGTGTGAGGTTGCTGGGGGAGGAATGGTGTCATCTCCACCTTTGGGGTGATCCATGTCACCGTGTTCAGGGGAAAAGCCCGGGCTTACTCCCTATGCAGAGAGGAGGCTCTGGCCGTAAAGGCACTTGTGGAGAGGTGAGGACCCATTCCCTCTACACTGATGGCCAAGAGCCTGCAGATGGTGGGGAAGGCTTCCCCTCAGCTGTGTCCTATCAGGTTTTTCCAGGAGTCAAGGAGTAGACCTGTACACTGCCTCTGATGATGTGTGCTGCATGCACACCTAGAAGTGAGGTCACCCCGCTGGGAGTCCTGGGGCTGCTGGTTGTTCTGGGTGCTCAGTGTCCAGAGAGCAGGATGAGGAGGAGGCCTTTTTCCAAACAGTAACCATATTCTCTGAATTATTTTTTCGGTAGGCTTTGTGTCATTAAATAAAATGTAGGAATCCAAAGGGGAAAAAACTGTCTAAAATTTGTGTCCTTTAATAAAAAATAAACACCCATTAACCACCAGGGATAGACGTTTGCGGGGCAAACCAAAAGCCCCATCATTTGCCCCAGCTCAGCAATAAACTCTTTCCTCCCAAATAAAAACACATCCTGACTTTTAGGGTCATCCTTTCTTTGTTGTATTTTATATTTTTATCATCCCAAATTATAATTTAGTTTTACCTTTAGAAATATGCTTTTGTTCTCTTTTATTCTATAGATTCTTCCTTGAAATGTATATTGTGTGGTAGAGTTTCCCACCATGTGCATTTTGTTGATTGCTCCCCAAGGTGGAGTTGGATATGTATTTCTATGATCTGTATTGTCTCTAAATCGGTGACTGGAGGCTGCTTAGTTCAGGCTTGATTTCCTTTTCACTTGCTCTTGTTTGACGGTACTCTACTGTGTTCTTCCATCAAGAGGAAGAACCTAACATGAGTTTTTTCTTTATTGTGTTGTTAATTGCCATTGCTGTTTAATGGCTAAATCTGTTAATTCCTTATGGGTTGCAAAACAGTTATTATAGTCTCAGTACCTCATTCCTCCCTATTTATTATCTGAATAATTTCTAAAGTAAGAGATTTACCCTCCTCTACTGTGTTTATGACTAGAAACTTGTTTATTGAGAGACTAAGCCAAGCAGCTACTCACTTATGACCCAGCAATTGCACTCTTAGTTATAAACCAATAGAAATGTGTGTGTGTGTGTGTGTGTGTGTGTGCTAAAATATATGAAAATATTCACAGCAGCACGATTTGTAAAATCTGGATATAACGCAATTGTCTATCAACAGTGAAGGGACAGGAAGTGTGAGCTATTTATAAAGTGCAGCATTTGACAGCCTTGGGAATGACTAGCCTACGACCACACACACAGATGATCAGCCCCAGAGCCGTGATGGTGACTGTGTAATGCCATTCAGCCAGAACCGGCAGAACTAATCTGTGTTAGAAATCAAGAGTGGCTCCTCTGGGGTGGGGGAGGGTGGTTTATGACTGAGTAGGGCCCAAAGGTGTTTCCCCAGGGCTGATTGCTATGTTGTTTGCTGGAGGGTTCACTTTGTGAAAATCCACTGCCCGCTTGAGGACTGCCCTCTTTTCTCCATGCATGTTGTCCTTCACTCAAACATACATTTCTGGTGTTTTGAAGCAATTCTATCTCTGATAAGAAGAATTGCTCCTACTGCACATCTTTGAAAATGCTGCATTGAAAAAATCAGTGCAATTTTTCCAGGAAATAAATACATATAAAGAGGAGAATTGGCAACAAGAGCAGTTGACTTGGGAGCTGACACCACAAAAGCTTTGGGAATGGACGTTGAGCCAGGAACCAGGAATCAAACTACAGACAAGCCCATGGGAGGTGGAGGATGTGAAGTGATGCCCCAGTAGTGCGTGAATGAATGAGTCATGGGCAGTGGCTTTGGCTTGGCTGGCCAGTCATGAACTTGGGGAAAACAGAGTTAAAAAATTGGGATGTAGGGGTGAGAGGTACGCATATACCTCTTACTATACACAGAATGTGTAAAGATAGTGGTTGTGTATGGATGCCTACTAGAGGGTCTTTTGGGGATGGGGCTCCCTGTGATTAAGTGGGCAAGATGGCTTGATGGATGATGCCACTCAGCCACACAGGGCTTGCTCATGGAGTCCCTGCACAAAGTGGCCGTGGTGGCTGGGATGGACGATGCATGGGCACAGCAATTGCATCACCACTCACCAAGTCTGACCTCGCAGCTGCCACTGTTGAGGGCCCAGCCTGCCAAAAGCAGCTGTTACTTTGGATGGAGAATTAAAACAGGAAACGGTAATTCAGAATAAAATAGCATTATGACAGATAAATATGCCACTAAAGATATAGTAGAGGTTTAAATAATTTTGAAGCAATGAACGAGATTATGCCAATGGGAAGAACTTACTGTCAGTAAAGAAGTTAAAATGGTTTTAAAACTTTATTTCCCTTCAGGCATATCCAGGCTGTTTTGAAGATAAGTTTTACCAAACCTTCAAAGAAGTTTACTGAACTTATACATAATATCCAAGAGAATGAGGAAACATAGAGCTAGTAAACTCATTATCGTTTATGCACCAATAACATTGATTCTAAAGCCAGCTAGGGAATACATAAGAGAAAAGCAGGATAGGATAGTCACTTCTAAGCAGTTAGACATAAAGATACTGAGAAAAACAGTAGTAGACGGTGTCCATCAATGAGCTACAACAATTTAAACATCCTGCCCAGTTATGTATCCCAAGAACACAGGAAAATGTTAACTTTACATCTGTAATGCATTTTACCACTTCATTAAAGAATAAAAGACAGAGACAGTCACATTTCACTAGATGCCGATGAAATCCAACACTCCCTCTCACCTACATTTCTTCAGTTATCTCCACTTCTAAGAACTTCTGATCATTTCTCGCTTTGGCAGCACACAGAATAAAACTGGAATGATACACAGAAGATCAGCATGGTCCATGCACAAGGGTGACAAGCAAGTTCGTGAAGCATTCCATATTTTTAAACTCTCAACAAACTAGGTATTGAAGAAACATACCTCAAAATAATAGTAGCCACCTACGACAAACCCGCAACCAATATCATACTGAATGGGCAAAAGCTGGAAGCCTTCCCCTTTAACATCAGCACAAGGCAAGGATGCCCTCTCTCACCACTCCTCTTCAACATAGTATTGGAAGTTCTGGCAGGAGCAATCAGGTCAGAGAAACGAAGGATATTCAGATAAAAAGAGAGGAAGTCAAATTGTCTTTGCAAATGACATGATTTTGTATCTAGAAAACCCCATTGTCTCAGCAGAAAGGCTTCTTAAGCTGATAAGCAACTTCGGTAAAGTCTCAGGATACAAAATCAATGTGCAAAAGTCACAAGCATTTATATACAGCAACAATACACAAACAGTGAGTCAAATAATGAAATCAACTCCTATTCACAATTGCTACAAACAGAATAAGAAGGCCAGGTGCGGTCGCTCATGCCTGTATTTCCAGCACTTTGGGAGGCTGAGGCAGGCAGATCACCTGAGATCCCATTCGAGACCAGCTTGGCTAACTTGGTGAAATCCAGTTTCTCCTAAAAATACAAAAATTAGCTGGGCATGATGGCATGCACCTGTAATCCTGGGTACTTGGGAGGCTGAGGCAGGATAATTGATTGAACCTGGGAGGTGGAGGTTGCAGTGAGCTGAGATGGTGCCATTCACTCCAGCTTATGCAACAAGAGCAAAACACCATGTCAAAACAAACAAACTAACAGAATAGGATGCCTGGGAATATGGCTAACAAGGGAATTGAAGGACCTCTTCAAGGAGGATGATGAACCACTGCTCAAGGGAATGGGAGAGGACATAAACAGACGGAAAAGCACTCCATGCTCATGGATAGGAAGAATCAAGGTCGTGAAAATGGCCATACTGCCCAAAGAATTAATAGATTCAACGCTGTTTTCATGAAACTACCATTGACACTTCTAACAGGATTAGAAGAAACTACTTTAAAATTCATATGGAACTAAAAAGAGAGCTTGTATAGCCAAGACAATCCTAAGCAAAGAGAACAAAGCTGGAGGCATCAAGCTACTCGACTTCAAATTGTACTACAAGGCCAGTAACCAAAACAGCAGGGTACTGGTACAAAAACAGACACATAGACCAATGGAACAGAACAGAGAACTCAGAAATGAGACCACACATCTAGAGCTATGTGATCTTTGACAAACTGACCAAAACAAGCAACTGGGAAAAGATTTCTTATTTAATAAATGGTGCTGGGAGAACTGGCTAGCCATATGCAGAACATTGAAACTGGACCCCTTCCTTACATCTTAGACAAAAATTAACTAAGATGGATTAAAGACATAAATGTAAAAAACAAAACTATAAAAAACCCTAGAAGAAAATCTAGGCAATACCATTCAGGACATAGGAAAAGTGAACAATTTCATGAAGGAAATGTCCAAAGCAATTGCAATAAAAGCCAAAATTAGCAAATTAGATCGAATTAAACAAAAGAGCTCCTGCACAGCAAAAGAAACTATTATCAGAGTGAACAGACAACCTACAAAGTGGGAGAAAGTTTTGCAATCTATCCATCTGACAAAGTCTAATATCCAGAATTTTCAAGGAACTTAAGGTTCTGTGTCCTCCGGGAAACCCAGGTTTCTACTGGAGCTGCGAGGTGCAGGGACATCATGAGAGAGGATGTGGAGGTTTTGCTGATCATGGGCTGAGAATTCCAGGGGGTGCAGTGGGAAGATTTCTGGAGCTGGGGAGGGAGGATGATGTGGAGAATAAGGGCGTGCAGAGCCTTGTGAGGATTCGAGTGCAGAGCATGTGGGGGACCCAGTGTGACTGAAACAAACAGGGAGAGGGTGTGATGAGCTCAGTCCTGGTGGACTCGAGGAAGACGATGGTGCTGAGGCTGTGGGAGACAGGGTAGGAGGAGCAGGGGTGGCTCTCCCCTGGGCTCTGTCCATGGACGTGAGGGTGGTGTAGTGGTTGGGTCTTAGCGCTGTGTGGAACTTTCTTGACCACCTGATGACAGTACGGAGTTCCTGAGGCAGCGGGCTTCTAGAGGACTGATTCCTGACCCCGAGGAAAGGAAGTGAGCTCATTCTAGGTCTTAGGTCTACCCTGACGTCTTCTTCAAAGGGTCTCACTTCTGGGTCCCCTGTGAACCCCAGTACAGGAGGCCTCTTCTGCTCTGCTGAGGGGACCGAGGCCCAGGGGAGCTGTGCGCAGATGTCATAATGCCAATATGTGTCTCCACACCTTGGAATATTATGTGGATGTGGAGGGGTTTTTCCCAAATGAAAGAAAACAGAGTAAATGGGACCCTAAAAAAATACAACTGAGCAATAGAGAGTAGAAGAAAATGTTTCTACTTTTCAGTTTCCCTGAATGTTGATCTCAAGGGACTGGAGAGAGAAGTTGCACGGAGAACAGAAACTCTGAGAGGGCTGGAGCTCCTGAGAGCTGCTCACCTCCACAAGAAAGACATGTGGGTAATGGTTAAGGCAATTTTACATTACTTTAAAATTTTGCAATATTAGGGAATTGTAGTAACTCTTTTCAGTGTAATAATAATATTACTGTTTGAAACGTTATTTTTTTTAAGAGATGACTACCGAAGTATTTAGGAATGAAGGTCATGCTGTTGGCAAGTGATTGTCTAATGTTTCAGCAAAAACCATGGAAATATAATTTATTACATACACAAAGGAAACAATTAGATCTATGGTGACCATTGTATTCTTTCCAACTTTTAGACTCTGAAATTTTTTAAATAATTTGGAGAAAAAATGAAAGCTAATACTATGTTATCACATGAGAAATGTTCACAACGTCATGTTGAATGAAAATTAAACTTCAAGACTAGCTGAGGTGGCTCATACCCGATCCTAGAGCTTTGAGAGGCTGAGGTGGGAGGACCACTTTAGGCCAGGCATTTGAAAGCAGCCTGGGCAACATGGCAAGACCCCATCTCAACAACACACTAAAAAATTAATGAGCCTGGTGGCAGGTACCTGTGGTTCTAGCTACTTGGGAAGCTGAGGTGGGGGGATTGCTTCAGCCTGGGAGTTCAAGGTTACAGTGAGCTGTGATCATACCACTGCAATTTAGCCTCAGTGACACAGCAAAACCGTGTTTCAAAAAAAAAAAATATATCAGGCCTTTAAAAGCATTCAAGAGCATGTGCATGAGAATGTTAGTTGTGTGTGGTCGTGTCACTGTGTGGAGAGTGTCGGAGTAAGAATGTGTCAATATGTGTGACATCTTTTTGTCTGTGTGTGTTGGTGTGTGAGTCCATGTGTGTATTCATTCAATCATTCATTCACTCAACAAGTATATTTAAAGTAACAGGCACTATTTGAAGCAAGGGAAATACAGTTGTGAACAATCAAAATCACCGTCCTTGTCCTCATAAAGCATGTATTCTAGAGGAGAGGAAGACTATAAGCAACTAAAATAAATACATTCGTAGCTGGGCACAAATGTATGTAATCCCAGCACTTTGGGAGGCTGAAGCGGGAGGAACACTTAAGGCCAGAAGTTTGTGCTCAGTTTGGGAAACATATCAAGACTCCGTTTGTACCAAAAGTAAATACAAGTCTGCTGAGTGTGGTGGCACACACCTGTAGTCCCAGCTACTTGGGAGGCTGAGGTGGGAGGATCATTTGAGCCCAGGAGTTTGAGGCTACAGTGAGCCAAGTTCGCACCACTGCATTCCAGCCTGGGTAACAGCACAATCCTGTTTCTCAAAATAAATAAATAAGTAAAGAATTCTTAAATGTCAGTAAAAGGGTTGTGAACAAAAACAAAGCAGGGTGGTGTCGGGGGGGATGGGAGATGCCACACAAAGTGGGCTCCGGTGGGAATGAGGAGAATGTGGGGGTGGGGAAGGGAGCCCTGGAGATGAGTTTCCCGGCAGGGGAGCAGCTGTGCAGAGGCTGAGGTGTGGACACCTGGGATGCTGGATAGACCGTGATGCCTGGGAGGGCCTCAATCTGGCCCCACTGCACAGTCACACCTGGGTAAACTGGGCGGTCACCGGAGAGGGCCTTGCCCATGAGAGGGACTTTTCACCATCATGTTCTCCTCCCTCCGCAGAGTCCAGGTCCTCTGCCAGAAACCAGCACGTGATCACATCTCAGGCGTCCTTCCGGGGAAGAAGTTGTGCAGGTGTCACTGCTGTTACAGGAAGAAGGAGCGCTGAAAAGAAAGAAGGAGCAGAAGAAAATGTTTCTTCTTTCTGGTTTTCTGGAGTGTCGTCATGGAGGGCTGGAGAGAGGGGATGAGACAGAAACCTCAGGGACGGCGTGAGGCTCCAGAGCTTCCCTCTCCTCCCGCTGTTGTGGGGTCCCTGGCTGCCAGAGGCTCCTTCACCCCACCAGTGCCCAGCCCAGCTCAGCGTCTCTGCCTGACTCAACCCACTCCTCCCTCTGCTGCTCATCAGAATCCGAGAGCAGCGGCTCGCAGCCCGCAGCGCTGTGTGGATGGTGGGGCTGCCGGGGCAGAAACCGGGAGAAACAGAGAGGAGCTGCTCAGTGCCAGGTGTGGCTGGGGGCTCCCGGGGGAGGAGGACCCAGCTTTGTGGCCAAGGCCGAGGCCATGGCTGCCGGCTGGATGCTCGATTTCTCCGAGGACCCTCGCCCAACCTGCGACAGCGCCGAGGCTGTTCTTCACGGACTGTCGAGTCCAACCGCTTATCGATTGAGAACTGTATACATGTGTCAGTTTTTGACAAGAATTGCAGCAGGAAAAAACTTGGATGCACAGTTTGAAAATGACGAACGAATTGGAACAGCCCTGATGAGCTGGGGTTCAATTGAAAAGGAAAAGGACGAACTTCACGAAGAAATACAGAATTTAATAGAAACTGAGGCTATCGCTGTTTGTATGGAAAATGGGCAACTTTAAAGAAGCAGAAGTCTTTGAAAGAATATTTGGTGATCCAAATTCTTACATGCCTTTAAAAAGGAAATTGCTTATGATAATCTCTCAGAAAGATACGTTTCATTACTTTTTTTCAACACTTCAGCTACAACTGCATGATGGAGAAAATGAAGAGTTATGTGAATTATGTGCTAAGTGAAAAATCATCCACCTTTCTAATGAAGGCAGCAGCAAAAGCCTAGAAAGTAAAAGAGCAAGAACAATAACTTCTCAAGACAAACCCAATGGTAATGATGTTGAAATGGAAACTGAAGCTAATTTGGATACAAGAAAAAGGTCGCATGAGAATCTTTTCTTATCTAGGTTGAAACATGGAACCCAGCAACGAGACCTTCAAAAGAAAGAAATAAAGAAGAGTAGGAACTCTTCAAAGTGCGAGAAAGAAAAAAGAAAGCAGAAGAGCCATTGAAAGTAGGATACCTGTATCAAAGGGTCAACTGGTGACCCCGGAAAAGCACTGAGCTAGAAAAAGACAGGTGTGGCTTTGGGAAGAAGACAAGAATTTGAGATCTTGAATGAGGAAATTTGGAGAGGGTAACATCTCAAATACTGTTGCAATATAAATTCAACGACCTGACAAATGTCCTGTTAAAAGGCACAATGAAGAAACTAAAATGGATTTGCTTAGACAGTGAAGACTGTGCTTGTAAAACTTGGTGAAAGGATGATTACGTATTTTCATCACTACATTTTGTTTGAAACTTGCATCGTTGATATATTTTCAACCTTTAAATCATTACAGTATTTTTCTGTGACTGTCAATTGAGGATTTGTGCTGGAAGAGTTAAAGTATATGCTTTCGTATTCTTTAAGAACTTGATTTTGATAAACTGTAAATTTGTTGAAGCCCACCACATTTAGCATTCCCACACCCAAATCCTGTTCCAGTGAAAAAATTAAAAGCTGATATAAAAACTTTTAATTAACCTATTTTGTATCTGTAGGCTGACCTCAACCATGTAACGTAACCCATTAAAATGAATTTGCTAGATGATTGAATAACAATAGTCCTTTGGTATGAGATCATGACTTGGCTTATGGCCTTAATATGCTACTTAATTACTTAAGACTTGTATTAATAGAATGATAAATGTACAAAGTAACCGATAAGCATGACATACTTTTGCTTTCAATGGTTTCATGTAAAGAAAAAACACTTGAACACAATAATACTCAAGGACACAAGTGAACAATAGACACTGGGAAGGGTGGATGGGAGCGAGAGCTGAAAACTGCCTACTGGGTGCTCTGCTCACTACCTGGGTGATGGGATCATCCGTGTCCCAAACCTCAGCAGTGCACAGTGTACCCAGCTAAGAAACCTGCCCATGTGTTCCCTGAATCTAAAATAAAAATAAATTTTATTAGTACCCATGGAACAAAATTTGTACTGTTAGCAAGACTCACTTTCTGTCTCACTTGGAAACAATTTGACTTTTGTTCCAGTGTTTAAACTTTGACAAAAATGGTTTTGAATAGATCTGTATAACCTGATACCATAAATATAATATAACCTGATACCATAATATAAGATTCTCTGATACATTCATTTAATATATCAATATTGAGCCAAAAACAATATTCTGTAAGGCTTAAATAGCTATTGACTATGAGCACCTTGACGTCTATGATAGGTAATAACCAAGGCCATACATACCTTACTGAACAGTTTTGGTTTTTCACTAACATTGTATTCTTTAAAGATTTAGACTCACAGAATTATTTAGCATTTTGAGTTGTGTGCTTTATTTAGCAAGTGAGTAAAAATATTGAAATATTGAAGCATTTGCATAAAAAAGCAAATGGTAGTGTTTTGCAATCTGTATTTTATTTCCTATTAAGGTTTTATATGTTACTTTCCCATAGTTCCTGAATTTGTTATCCTATATACTATATATAAACAGAAACAAGGATATTTAAAAAAAAAAAAAAAAAAATCTGAGAGCTGCGCAGCGGCGCCACCCTGTGGCCACAGGGCTAAGAACGGTGACCCTTAGCTCCCACCTCATCTGCTCAGCCAAGACCTCCCCTGAGGAGACCCAGGGAGACCTGGGCTCCCGGCAGCAGGAAAGGGGTCTGAACACAAGAGGGCACCCCTACCCCATGTCACGGTTGGGATCGGCCGTGTCTGTGTGCATCTATTCATGTGCTCTTTACTATATTCCACTGAATTATGCCTATTTTATACCAATGTCACACTGCTTTTAATTACTAGAGGTTTACTCTTATTCTTTTTTTTTTTAAGAAGAGAAAAAGAAGGGGAAAAAAGAAAAAGAGGGAAAAAGGAATATTACTTCATTCCTAAAATGGGTTTTAATAATGGCCAATCAATATTTTGAGTATTTAAAGTGGTTAATGCATATTTTATGTGTTTAAAATGGAGACCTCTATTGTGTTTATTTGTTCTGGCTCTGAGTTCAAGTCCTGGATATCGTTATCAATTTGTTGTCTCGTTGAATCTAAATCTCATTATGTGTCTTATGTATCTGGGTGTTAAGATCTCTTATTGTTACATTAATCCTTTTACCCTTGCATCCTTGCAGCTTTGAAATCTATTTTATTAAGTGTGAGAATTGCAACTCCTGCTTTTTATTTATTTATTTTTGCTCTCCATTTGGTTGGTGAGTTTTTTTCCATCCCCTTGAGTCTTTGTATATCTTTAGATATATCGTTAGATTTTGTGGATAATGTATATTTTGTGTGTTTAAAATGGAGAGCTCTATTGAGTTTATTTGTTCTGGATCTTAGTTCCAGTCCCGGATATCGTTATCAATTTTCTGTCTCGTTGAATCTAAATCTCATTATGGGTCTTATGTATCTGGGTGTTAAGATCCCTTATTATTACATTAATCCTTTTACCCTTGTATCCTTGTAGCTTTGAAATCTATTTTGTCAAATGTGAAAATTGCAACTCCTGCTTTTTATTTATTTATTTTTGCTCTCCATTTGGTTGGTACGTTTTTCTTTTCCAACCCTTTATTTTGAGTCTATGTATATCTTTGGATATACTGTTAGATTTTGTCTGTATCTTTTGATTGGGAGATTTGGTCGGTTTAAATTTAGGGTTGCTGCCATTTTATATTAACTGGTTATTTTGTCCTTTCGTTGATAAAAATTCTTCTTTATGTCAATGCTCTTTACTTTTTGGTGTATTTTTAGAAAGGGTCATACTGGTTGTTCCTTTCTGTGTATAACGCTTCTTTTAGAAGTTCTTGTAAAGCAGGCCTAGTGGTAATAAAATCTCTGAGTACTTGCTTGTTCCTAAAAGATTTTATTTTTCCTTCAAATGTAAAGCTTAAATTGGCAGGATATGAAATTCTGGGCTGAAAGTTCTGTTGATTAAGTATATTGAATATTGGCCCCCACTCTCTTCTAGCTTGTAGGGTTTCCATTGAGAGATCTGCTGTAAGCCTAATAGGCTTACCTTTATGGGTAACTTGATCTTTCTCTCTGGCTGCCCTTAATATTTTCTCCTTCGTTTTGATCTTGGTGAATCTAACGATTATGTGCCTTGGGGTTGGTCTTCTTGAGGAATATCTTTGTGGTGTTCTCTGTATTGCCTGGGGTTGAATAGTGTCCTGCTTTGCTAAATTAGGAAAATTTTCCTGGATAATGTCCTGGAGAGTATTTTCCAGCTTGAATTCATTCTTTCCGTCACATTCAGGTACACCAATCAAGCGTATATTAGGTCTTTTCACATAGTCCCATATTGCTTGGAGACTTTGCTCATTCCTTTTTATCCTTTTTTCTCTATTCTTGTCTTGTCGTTTTGTTTCATTAAGTTGGTCTTCGACCTCTGATACCCTTTCTTCTGCTTGATCCATTCGGCTGTTTAAGCTTGTACATATTTCACTAAGTTCTCGTGTTGTACTTTTCAACTCCATAAGTTCATTTGTATTCCTCTATATTGTCTATTCTTTTCAACATTTCATCTAACCTTTTTTCCAAGTTCTTAGTTTCTTTACATTGGGTTAGAACAAGTTCCTTTAAGTCTCAGAAGTTTCTTATCATCCACCTTTTAAAGCCTACTTCAGATAATGGAACACAGTCCTTTTCCATCAGGGCTTGTTCCATTACTGATGAGTCCTTTTCCATCAGGGCTTGTTCCGTTGCTGATGAGTCCTTTTCCATCAGGGCTTGTTCCGTTGCTGATGGGTTCTGATTTTGAGTATACTTGGCCTTCTTAGGCCGTTTTTTTCCCTTCATTGTAGATGAACTGCCTTTCTAATTAGGTTTCTGAGTTGACGTCCGACTTATTGATTCCCAGTGCTGGGATCCGAGCAACCCACTGTGGCAGCCTAAATAGCAGCGATAAAACTGATGGTGCTCTTCTGCCCGGGAATCTCTGGTCTGGCTTCCCTCTTGAGTCCGCAACAAGCGGCTCTGACTTCCCGGAGCTCCAAACTCCGGTCAGTAGGGGAAGTAGTCCCGTTGGCTCTGCATGAAGAGCTGCTGCGCCGAGATGCCGGCAAAACCGCTGCGGCAGCCACAAGAGTCGCGCTGGCGACCCGTGGGGCTCCTCCACTGGGAATCGGCTAATCGGTGAGTGACGAAAATTCGTCTAAAGATGTGGCGTCGTCTCGTTCTCTGAGCTTTCACTGGGAGCTACAATCCTGAGCTGTTAGTGGTTGGCCATCTTGGATCGATCTCTACTAGAGGTTTATAGTAAATCTTGAAATCACTCACTATGCATCCTCCAAATTCCTTTTTTTTTTTTTTGAGACGGAGTTTCACTTGTTACCCAGGCTGGAGTGCAATGGTACGAAATTGGCTCACCGTAACCTCCACCTCCACCTCCTGGGTTCAGGCAATTCTCCTGCCTCAGCCTCCTGAGCAGCTGGGATTACAGGCACACGCTACCATGCCCAGCTAATTTTTTGTATTTTTAGTAGAGACGGGGTTTCACCATGTTGACCAGGATGGTCTCGATCTCTTGATCTCGTGATCCACCCATCTCGGCCTCCCAAAGTGCTGGGATTACAGGCTTGAGCCACCGCACCTGGCCTCCAAATTCCTTCTTTTTAAAAATTATTTCAGCTATTCAAACTTACTTGTATTTCTATAGAAATGGTAGCTTCAACTTGTGAATTTAACATTTCTTTTAAAGCTCACCAGTGTCTTAAATGAAAATGCACTTAATTTAATAGCTCAATCTTGGAGAAGTAGTAACACTGGATATTCCAGTTCTTGAATACACAATTTCTGTTAATTTTGATCTTCTTTACTTTCTGTCAGTAGTGCTTGTAGATCTTAGTGTAGAAATTATACAAACTATTAAAAAATTGATGCCTGAACATGGTATTACTTTGCTAATTTTTATTTTGAGACAGAGTTTTGCTCTAGTTGCCCAGGTAGAATGCAATGACGTGATGCTGGCTCACTGCAACCTCTGCCTCCTGGGCTCAAAAGATCTCCTGCCTCAACCTCCTGAGTACCTGGGATTGCAGGCTTCCACCATCAGCCTAATTTTGTACTTTAGTAGACAGAGGATTTCGCCATGTTGGCCAGGCTGGTCTGGAACTCCTGACCTCAAGTGACCCAACCACATTGGCCTCCCAAAATGTTGGGATTACAGACATGAGCCTCTGCACCCAGCCTGTTTTGATTATATTAATTGAGTTGTGTTATTTGCAGTTCATTTGAATCAAACACTTTCCCATAAACCAATATGGAATGACATATTTTTTTTAATTTGTCTTTGAATTTATTAACTTCTTGCACCTAATTTTTGGTCTTTGTTCAAGAGAAATATGCTTGGTTCTTTTTTCTAATTTTGTTGTGTGAATTTTCTTTTTTTAATGTGAGTAATATTGGCCTCATAAATCCAGTTGAAAATAGTTGCCTCCTTTAATTTCTAAAAAGGTGTGTGTAAAATTGATGTTATTTTTCAACTGTGTGTTTCATACAATTCCTCAGCAAAGCCTTCTAGACCTTCTGTATTCTCTGTGGGAAGGATTTTAATTACAAATTCAATTTCTACAATTTATATATGGCTGGTCACATTTTCTGTTTCTTCTTAGGTCAGTTTTCACGACTTTTCTCTCTCAAGGAAATTGTTCATTTGGATGTCAAGCTTATTGGCACAAAATTATTAATATTCCTTTTCTTGACCTGAAGGTCACAGTGGTCTGAGGTTCTTTTATTCCTGATATTGTTACTTTGTATTTTTTTGTTTTGATCAATCTAGCTAGGGTTTTATAAAATTTACTGATTATTTTCCCACACAACCAACTTTAGGATTAATTTTATTTATCTTTCAAAGTAATTTACTTGTTTCATTATTTCCTTCCTCTGCGTGCTTTGGTTTAATTTGTTCATTTTTGTTTTTTACAGCAGAAGCTAAGTTACTAATTTGACATCTTCTTTTTAAATCAAGGTACTTAAAAATGTCAATTTTTCTCTATTATTTCAGCTGCATCCCACAGATTTTGATTTATTGTACTTTAATATCCTTCAGTTAAGAGGATTTCCTAATTTATCTTGTGATTTCTTCTTTGACAAAATTGTCATTTAGAGTTTTGATGTTTAATTTCCAAATACTTAGTATTTTTACAATCATCTATCTTAGTTTATTTGGGCTCCTGTAACAGAATACCATAGTCTGTGTGGATTATAAACAAAAGAAATCTATTTCTCACAATTCCAGAGCCTGGGAAGTCCAAGGTCAAGACAATAGCAGAATGAGTGTGTGATTAAGGGTGTTTCCAGATTCACAGATGGTGTCTTTTCTTGGTGTTCTTACATGGTGGAAGGGGCAAAGAAACTCAATGAAATTTATTTTATAAGAACACTAACCTAATTAACAAGGGATCTGCCCTCATGACTTAATCACCTCCAAACACCATCACATTAGGGATTAGGTTTAAATATATGAATTTAGAAAATGACAAAAACATCCAGTCCACAGGATCACCTTATTGCTACCAATTTCTAATGCGTTTTCATATGGTCAGAAAATATGTCTTGCAGGATGTCAATATTTTCAAATGTATTGTTTGATGGCCTGAAATATAGTTTCTCTTGGTAAATGTATCATTCACACCTGAAACTATATTTTTTCATTGATGTTCATATGTATTTATATACATAAAGTCTGTGTGGTTAATGCTTGTTTTTCTAGGTTATTTGTTGGAATTTTCTATAGTTTTTAAATTTATTGCTAAAGTTTTAACATATCTAATCATGCTCATAGAATTCTCCATTTCTCTCCGTAATTTTGTCCATTTTTTTGTGAACTCTGAAGTTAAGCTATTGGGTGGATTTCTGATTGCATGTCTTTTTGTTGTATTGATGCTGTTGTTATTATGAAATGTCTCTTTTTTATCTCTGGTGATACATTTCATTTGAAAATCTCTGCTTTACTGGTAGTAATATAACTGGTAGCAATATAACGCTTTCAACCCCCTTATGTTTACTGTTTACGTGACATTGCTTCTTCCGTCAATTTTCATTTAACTTAGACCTATGTGTGCCTGCGTTAGTCTGTTTTTACACTGCTAATGTTGTAACCAAGCGAGCTATAAAAAAAGCGCCACACAGGTGATGAAAAATGAGAACACATGGACACAGGGAAGGGAGTACTACACACTGGGGTCTATTGGGGGGAATAGGGGAGGGACAGCAGCGGAGGGGGGGGAACTGGGGAGGGATAGCCTGGAGAGATATGCCAAATGTGGGTGAGGGGGAGGAAGGCAGCAAAACACACTGCCATGTGTGTACCTATGCAACAATCTTGCATGCTCTGCACATGTACCCCAAAACCTAAAATGCAATTTAAAAAAAAAAAAAAAAAAGCGCCACACTCTGAGATAGAATCAGAAGTCCTTTAATGCCAGAGACAGAGAGATGGCTAACACTCAAAATTCTCTTGGCCCAGAGGAAGGGGCTTGATTCCTTTTTACACCTTGCTTAGAGAAAGGGGGTAGTCACCCCCTTGGTATTTTGTAAGTCCAGGAAAATTCAGGTCGGATTCAGAATAAGAATGATAGAAGATTCAGACACAGATGCCATCAATTCTTTGATTTTTGTCTTTTGGATTCCTCATTTTTCCTGATTATCCACACAAGTTGACTCGGCTGGGAACTTGACCACGAATGTAGTGCTTTCCTTTTTCTGAGACGGAGTTTCGCTCTTGTTACCCAGGCTAAAGTACAATGGCATGATCTCGGCTCACCACAACCTCCACCTCCCGGGTTCAAGTAATTCTCCTGCCTCAGCCTCCCGAGTAGCTGAGACTACAGGTGTGCGCCACCATGCCCAGCTAATTTTTGTATTTTTAGTAGAGACGGGGTTTCACCTTGTTGACCAGGATGGTCTCGAGCTCCTGACCTCGTGATCCACCTGCCTCGGCCTCCCAAAGTGCTGGGATTATAGGAGTGAGCCACTGCGCCCAGCCCCACTCTAGTCTTAATAATTTAGAATCAAAATCAAAACACTCCACAACCCCTACTCCTTTCTCTCAAAATGATCAGATTATTAAGGAAAAGAAAATGCATGTAATGAAGCTAACGGATACATGTATTGTTTAGGCATCCTTCCAAATGTAACATTTCAAAAAAATTTTTCATACTTTGATGATCAATGTAAAACTGTGGTCTAAGGCTAGGCACAGTGGCTCACACCTACAATTCACTTTGGGAAGCTAAGGCAGGATGATTACTTGAGTCCAGGACTTCAAGAGCAGGCTGCACAAAAAGAGACCCCCATCTCTAAATAAATAAGTAAATAAATAAACTGTGGTCTAGGAAATAGATGGAAGAAAAGAAACTAACAGAATTGACAGTCAAATATATAAACATACACACATCCATAGTCTGCAAGTGCTTCCTATTTGCAGAATATAAATGCACTATGTGATGCTTTTCTGCTAAGTCCTTACTTGGCTTTCCTGCTCCGTGGAGTTCACAGACTGAAGCAGGCCTTGAATCTCCATTTCGTGTTCCACCACTTGTTTGTGTTGATCACTCAGAAGGTCCTGCAGCATCCTTTCCTTTCGCTGCAGACGCTGGCACAGCTCCTCCGCTACGTCACTCTGCCCTGGTCCAAGTTTGCAGAGCAGTGTTGCGCTAAGATCCTAATACAGAAGGGACACTGTAAGTTTCTGGGGGAAAGAACTGCCTCTAGTAAATAGCAAAGGGCTTAAAAGACTATCACAGAAGAAGGAGCCGTGAGATTCTTGACATGAAGTATCATGTTTTATTCATTTTTGTTTTACCAGGCCCGGAACACGGAAGTCTCTAAATACATGTCCCAGGAATGAATACTAACAATAGAGAAAACTCTCTCTAGTGGCCACTTACGTAACTATTGTTTTCTGAAGTAAGTCTTTATCCATTTTGTTCAGGGAATGTAACAATTAATGTTAGATGAGGATAAACAGACACTCAGTTCATTTACGTATTTTCTCCCCAGTGTAACCTTAGAGAGGGAAGCACAAAACGATAAGCGGAAAGGAATACTAAACACTGTATGTGCTATCATAGTGATGGTTTCAATTTCTGTACTCCCCAAAGGTACATGGTGAAGGAAACGGAGGAGCCATACTGCCTAGCTTACTGGATCTGCTACTTATTAGCTATGTTAGCTTGGACAGGGTACTTAGCTTCAGAAGTCTGTCTCCTCCTCTATAAAACAGGGATAATAGTATGTGCCTCATGGACCCTGGCAATGCTTCCGTAAAAGTAAGAGACAGCCAGAGAGAAGGAGAGAGAAATCTCTATTTACATATGAACAAGAATTGGAAATAAATCAGAAGTATGTGAACAGAAACCAATATTCACTGGCTCGCCTCACAAACTTCCTATTATGAAAGAAAACAGAAATGCTAAAGTCTCTCACTTTCTAAACTACAAGGAAGGAATTATTGGCTGCTATTTTTGGTTTTCTCCTCGTATACAAAGCAGAATCCCCGGTTTTCAGAAAATGATGGAACGGGTCCTGCCTCAGGCTTAGAATACAAGCGGGAGAGGAACACGAAGTCAGAGATAGGTTTTGCTCTTACCTGCACAGTAGCTTCATTGGCGGTGTCCCAGGCACTGACCGCGTCAGCGGCAGTCGGAGGCATCTACGGTGCATGGGCGGCGTCCGCACCCCGTGGCGCGACAGAGGCGTCCGAGGCACTTCCGCGGCGTCCCAGGCGCGGATGGCACCTGTGGCGCAGTCACCGCATCAGGAGTGTCCGCGGCGCGGTAGGCTCGTCGGGGGCGGCCGCGTCCCAGGCGTTGACAGCGTCAGTAACGTAGGCGGCGTCAGCTGCGCGCTCAGCATCGGCGGCATCCAGAGGGTCTGTGGCGTCCGCGACGTCAGCGGGTCAACAGCGGCATCCCATGCGCTAACGGCGTGGGCAGCGTCTACGGGGTCTGCGGCTCCACTGCGGCGTCCGGAACACTTCGGCGGCGTCCCAGGTGCTGATGGCATGGCGACGCAGTCAGCGCCTCGGGAGTGTCAGCGACGAGGTAGGCTCTTCGGGGGCGGCAGTGGCGCGGTTAGCGGATTGGCGGCGTCCCAGGCGCTGAAAGTGTCAGTGCCATCGGCGGCGTGGTCCGCGCGTTTGCTGCGTCAGCAGCTTTGGAGGCGCGGTTAGCGCCGACGGCGTCGGAGGGGGGGGTGGATCTATGGCGTCAGCGTGGTCGGCCCGTCATGACGTCAGTGGTGCGACGGCGGCGTCTACCGTGCGTCGGAGGGGTCCCAGGCGCAGACGGCATCAGCGGAGCGGTCGCGCGTCTGGAATGTCGGTGCGGTAAGCTGGTCGGGGGCATCCACAGCGCGGTCAGCGGCTCAGCGGCTTTCCAGCCGCTCACAGGGTCAGTGCCGTCGGCGGCGCAGTCCGCGCGTCGGCCGCGGCAGCGGCATTGGAAGCGCGGTCCACGCCGGTGGCGTGGGGGCGGGGGGTCTGTGGCGTTCAGCGTGGTTTGCGCGTCAGTGACGTCAGCAGCGCGACGGCAGCGTCTACCGTGCCTCGGAGGCGTCCCGGTAGCGCGTCGGGAATGTCGGCGGTGTGGTAAGCTGGTCCGGGGCATCCATGGCGCGGTCAGCGGTTCGACGGCTTCCCAGCCACTCACAGGGTCAATGGCGTCGGCGGCGCGGTAGGCTGGTTGGGGACATCGGCGGCGCGGTCATCGGTTCGGCGGCAGGGTCCCAGGCACTGACGGCGTCCGCGAGGTCTGCGGCGCAATGGCGACGTCCGAGGCACGGTCAAAGCGTCGGGGGCGTCAGCGCCGCAATCTGCGTAGTGGGCATCTGCCACGTATTAGGGGATGTCCCGGCCTCTCTGCGACGCGACGGCGACGTCCCAGGCGCGGATGGAATCGGCGGTGGTGGCGCGGTAGGCTCGTCGGGGGCGGCCCCAGAGCGGTCAGCGGGTCGGCGGCGTCCCAGGCGCTGACAGCGTCAGTGGTGTCGGCGGCGGGGTCCCGGTCGGCAGTGTCCAGAGGGTCTGCGGAGTCCGCGCGTCGGGGGCGTCCGGAGGGTCTGCGGGGCGACAGCAGCGTCCGACGCGCGTTCGGCGTCGGCGGTGACTGAGCATCAGCGTCGTAGGCGCGGGCCGCGCAACGGTGGCGCGCGCCGGTGCGTCGGCGGCGGCGCGCTAAGTTAAGGTTTACCGGGATGCCCAGGCAGCGTTTCCGACGTGAATGCCACGGTGGGGCGGCAGCCGGGATCTGCACTGAAAGTTTAAGGTTTAGTAGGAAGTCAGGGTTTAGGGGGAAGTCCACCCAGGCTTTCCGAGGTGAGGGCGCTGCGCCAAGCCGGGAGAGCGGTGAGTCTGGGACCCGAGGCGCACAGCTGGGTGGATGTGCGCGCCGGGGTCCTCCACAACTTTTGCTGTGCCAGCGGGGCGGGCGCACCGGGGCCCCCCGAGCTTAAGTTCCCTGCATTGGATTCCTCGCTTGCCGCTGCCAGCCGCAGCCCTGCTCTCGTGGGCTCTGGGGAAGAAACTCGCGGGCGGGTTTTCCGGTGGCATCCCAGGAGGTGGAGGGATGGAGCAGCTTCGTTGGCACATCTTCCTAGATCTGGTGGAGGACATTGACCCTTTGCCCCACCTTCGAGGCCAGAAATCGGTTCCCTTTGGGGACCTGAATGGCGAAAGATCTCAAGCCCCAAATTTGCAAAGTTGGGTTCTTTATTGGCCTCCGGGATTCCGCACCTGGCGCTGTCTCCAGCTTGGTGGTGGGCAAGCCAGGTGTGCCAGATCCAGGAAGCAAGCACTAGGGGAGCGTTTGTAGCCGTCGCTGAATCGCCTCTGGACTAGCGGGGCCAGCCTCAAATTAGCAGCATTTCCAGTAGGTTGGATTGTGGTGCTGCTGTTTGCGCTCCAAAGAGTTGCTGTGGTTTCCCTTTGTCTGTCTGCCTTGGGAGCTTCTCAGATCATCTAGTTTGGCATCCTGTCACAGAAGAGTTAAGCAAGACTTTTGAATTGTTTTCCTCGATTTCCTTCTGTGTTTTGCTGGTAAAGCTGCTTTCAAAAGGAAGTCTTTTCTTGCAGTGCTATCTTTTCTTTGACTCCCAGTGCTTGACGAAGTTAAAGAAAAGTAATCTGCTGGTAGTTTTTCATCTTTGTTCTGAGCTGATACGCGTTAATAGCTGTCTTTTGTTTTTAAGTTTTATTGGTAAAATTTCACCTGTGAACTAGAAGCTCGATTTTTCTCTTCTAAAATGCTAGCTTTAAGATTTCTGAGAACTTTGTATCAAAGAAATCTTGGAAAAATTACTGAAGTCTACAGAAGCAGCTCACAATTTTAAATGTGCAGGTGGTACTGGGACAGCGGATCACACCTGTAATCCCAGCACTTCCAGAGGCCAAGGTGAGCAGATCAGTTGAGCCCAGGAGTTCCAGACTAGCCTGGGCAACGTGGCAAAACCCCGTCTCTACTGAAAAGACAAAAATCAGCTGTGTGTGGTGGTGTGTGCCTGTAGTCCTAGCTACCCGGCAGGCTGAGATGGGAGGATCACCAGAGCCTGGGAGGTTGAAATTACAGTGAGCCGTGGTCATGCCAGTGCACTCAGGCCTGGATGGCAGAATGAGAGCCCGTCTCAAGAAAAGAAAAACAAAACAGGTAATGAATTTACACTAAGTAAATTTCACCACATATCAAGAAATAGAACATTACTAGATGGGTGTATAAATGTAGGAGTGGCATTGTTGGTTTTAGAGGTATGTGAATGACAAAACTTTAGTATCAGTTATTGTTGATCATTTTCACAAAGTGGTTGTACCGCTTAGCTGGGAATATTCTGGTTACCCCACATCTTTGCTTATGCTTGTCAATTCAAAATTATTTTCCCATTCTAGTTGAGGTGCAGTAATGTATCAGTGTAGTTTCATTTGCATTTTCCTGCTATTGAGATTGAGTATTTTTTATTGCCATTTATATGTCCTCTTTTGTGAAGTGCCTGTTCAGTCTTCGTATCCTGTTTACATTTATATGGTTGTTTTTCTGTTGATTTGTAATTCTTTATTCTGGATGTGTGTCCTTTTTCTAGGATATATATGTATTACATTTCTCTATTTTTCAAACTGTAGCATGCCTTTTCACTCTTTTAATGGTGTTTTTACATGAATGGAGATTCTCCGTTTTTGTTTTTGTTTTTCCTTTTTGAGACAGGATTTCATTCTGTTGTTCAGGCTGCAGTGCAGTGGCAGTGCAGAGATTTCACAACTGAATGAAACCACCTCCCAAGGCTCAAGAGATCCTCCTGCCTGAGCCCCCCAAGTAGCTGGGACCTACAGGGGAGCATCATTATGCTCAGCTCTTTTTTGTATTTTTAGTAGAGATTGGGTTTTAACACGTTGCATAGGCTGGTCTGGAATTCCTGGGATCAAGGGATAACACCTGCCTTGGCCTCCCAAATCTAAGGGATTACAGGCATGAGCCAGTGTACCCAGCCTGAGTTTCTTAATTTTAGTGAAATTATACTTAATCAATCTTTTCGTTTACAGTGACTGCGTTTTGTGTCCTGTTAATCAATGCCTAACCTAAGAACATGAAAACTTAATCTCATAGCAGTTTTAGTTTAGTTTATGCTTCCCCACCCCCCATCCCCATGCCACAGATAGGCTCTCACTCTATTGCCCTGGCTGGAGCGCAGTGGCATAATCTCAGCTCACTGCAACCTCCACCTCCTGGCTCAAGTGATCCTCCCCGCTCAACCTCCTGAGTACCTGAGACCATAGGCATGTGCCACCATGCCAGGCTAAGTTTTGTATTTTTTTTGTAGAGCTGGGGATTCACCATTTTCCCAGGTTAGTCTCAAACTCTTGGGCTCAAGTAGTCTGCCCGCTTCAGCCTCTCAGAGGGCTAGGATTCGAGCCAACCCACCCACCCATGATTTACTTTTTACTACATGGATGTGACTGACTTCTTGATCCAGCACCATGTATGGAGAAGATCATCTTTGTCCTGCACTGTGTAGCACTTTTTTTCATCAATTGGATGGCTGTATGGTCATCAAATTGATGAAATCAGTGTGGGTCTGTTTCTGGACCAACCTGGACAACATAGCAAGATCCAATCTCTACAAAAAATAATAAAAAATAAAGAAATACATGAAATTTTTAAGTGGGTAGAGCAGATGGAGTCATAGGTGGTAATTTATAAACTATTGTCAATTTTCTTGGCTACATAGAGGTGTTGGTAAGTGAGATCTGTTGGGAGTTCAGGCAAAATGTATTAAGTGAATTCTTTGGTGTTCAGAATGATTGCTAGATGTTCATTGTGACTTCAATTAGATGTTATTTGTGTATCACAGAGCTACAGGTTTTATTCTCTTCTTTATTTATTTGTCTTTAAAGATTTTTACAATCTTCCTGTCAAGGCAGTACCTCTATTATACTTAATTGTTCTTAGGTATGCTTAATTACCAGGAAAATTTTATGGATCATACCTAACTGTTAAGCCACTTAAAGTAAAGGGCTGATGTGATGTAGACGATAGGATTCTACATACTAGTTTCAGGAGTATATCAATTAAATTGTTTTTTTTTTTTTTTCTTGAGATAGGGTCTGGCTCTGTTGCCGAGGCTGGAGTACAGTGGTGTAGTGGTATGATCGTGGCTCACTGCAGCTTTGACCTCTCAAGCTCAAGCAGCCTCCCACCTCAGCCTTCTTAAGTAGCTGGGACTACAGGCATGCACCACCATGCCTGG